TGCAGGGGACACGGGTTCAAGCCCTGGTCCGGGAAGATCCCACATGCCGCGGAGCAACTAAGCCCGTGCACCACAACTACTGAGCCTGCACTCTAGAGCCCGCGAGCCACAACTACTGAGCCCACATGCTGCAACTGCTAAAGCCCGCACGCCTAGAGCCCGTGCTCCACAACAAGAGAAGCCACCGCCACAATGAGAAGCCCGTGCACCGCAACGAAGAGTAGCCCCCGCTCGCCGCAACTAGAGAAACCCCGTGCGCAGCAACGGAGACACGATGCAGCCAAGAATTAATTAATTTATTTAAAAAAATTAAAATTATAGAAATACTGTCAGTGTACCTAGGGTAAATAAATTTTCAGGTGAGGCGAGTCACAAGGAATGCAGGTTTTATCTGTTTTCCTAGTATCTTTGGGGAAAAAATGAAGAATGGTAAAAATGTTGACCTTTAAGTATAGGCTCACTTATGGGTCACCCTTACTCCATTTTACGTGGCAAAACAAGTTAACGAACCTCCAAGAGGTTACGGGACCCCATTATTATGGGGAGTGATGTGTCACAGCAGACTCTTGACCCCTTCCTTCTCGGCTTCTTTCCGGCCTTCCTTGTTCTCCACACATGCCTTTCGTGCCAGCAGTGGTGGTACTGATAAGAGCCAGATAACGAAAAGGAAGGAAGAGGAACCGGGGCAGCAGTGAGGGCACAGCACACAGGCACCCAGAGCCCCCTGGCACAAAAACACATGCCCAGGGAATGCCCACCCCTCACCAGGGAGACCCCCCGAGATCCCAGTCCAGCCCAAGTCCATGGTGGTAACCAGTCAGAGGACATTATCTAAGTACTAAATACACCCCCCTTCAGAGGAAGGAAATTCCCACTTTCCAGGATTGCAAAAGGTCTCTTAGGCAAGACGCTTCTTTGAAAACTGACCAACTGGCAGTAAATGGATAAGAGGCTTCAGAGGGGAGGATAGTTTGGGGCTCCGCCAGATGTGGATTCAAAACCTGGATTCGCTATGTTTCTGCTGAATAACCTTAGACAAGTTCATTACTCTCTCTGTATTGATTTCCTTATCCATCCAACGGGGATAGGAGGAGCCCCTCCAGAGGTTGTCCTGGTACTGAATAGTTCCAGGGACGTAAGTGCTGGCCCACAGCACGCTTGAAACCTGCAGCTTCAGTCACCACCATCTCTGTCCCCATCGCCCTCATGTAAAGTAGTGGCACCGTGAATGGGACCGGTGTGTCACGGACGCTTTAGGCTCCCATTACCTTCCATCCTCCCAGGCCACGCCTTCACCTGGCAGGCTCAGCCACTCACGGTGGTCTTGACCTTCCAGAGAGCTGTAGACCCCGCCTCTTCACTCCAAGGAGCAGTGTGAGCAATTTCAGTGATAACACTCCCAGCGGGTGAGACCGTGTTCCCACGATAAAGCATCAGAGTCTTTCAGACCGACCCAGGCAGGAAAAAGGAAGCGCCCAGAGGTACACTAAAATCAGTGAATAGGGGTTTGTACTTTAAGTTGAATATGAGAAATAAACTAAGTTTTATTCCCTTAAAGCAACCCAAATATACCACCGTTTTGCTATTTAAAAAAAAAAAAAAAAGTTTTCTTTGTGAGATGCAAAAGCTTTTGAGACATGGAATTGTCCAGATAGGACATCTCAGGGCCATATCTTGCTTTGTCTGGTTTAATTTGGAAACTAGCCTTATTGTTGTTAGTATTCTATACATTTCATCAGAAATCTAAAACCTGTTTCTTAGTCAGATACCTCTTCTGGGTCCCCTCAGATGACTATCGCAAAGAGGCCAGAAACTTTTCTTGTTCAGATCCTGACCCAGGACTTCTGCTTGGGCCTTTTTAACTGGTTGCATTTGTCTTTATTTGATCTCCTAGGACCCCAGATTCACACTGAAGCCCCAAGGGTTTAAACACCCCCCTCTTAGAGACTTGGCCGTTTTAATAAAAATATTATCTTCCATTTCTGCAGGCGGTGGGGCCTCTTTCCAGATAAGCAGCTCGTCCTGACTCTCAGTCCCCGGTTTCAAAGCCTGCCTCTTTAGAGAACTGTTTGATAGCTTCTGAAGAGTACTTGTTTTTATCTTGAGACTCAGAGACAAGCGTGACCCGGAATGTCCGTCTGAGGCGGCAGAGATGCCGTCACACAGATACGCCAACTGCTATCTGCGCGAGACACTTGCTGTCTGCGTGTGCTTCCCCGGACCGTGGATGAAGCCCGTCCTGCTGGTTGTGCCCACAGCCCTTGGCCCTGGGTTTCCCTCCCCCTTTTGTCCTCACGTCTTTCAGGAGCCTTGTGGAGAAGGGTTCGGAGGCCTCCCCAGAGCTCTGTGATGAGTATGCCACTGTGCATCTGTAATGTCTGACCTGAACGCGGCAGTGACAGCGGGGTCCCAACCCTGGCCTACCCATCTTATAGTGTCAGTGCCACAGTGTTCACAGGGCAACTGTCTTCTGCATTTTTGACTTTCGTCTTGGACTAGAAGTTGCACCTGGACTCAGTGACAGTAGGTCTTTCCCTTCACATGCAGTTGACCAGACAGTATGTTAGCGCTTACATGTGTCTCGTGATCCTGTTGCATCATTCACCTCTCCCGAGCCCAGGTGTGTCCCTGAGTGTGGACAGGAGGCAGCAAGCTGAGAGCCGTCTTCTCTGTCCTCATCCCTCACTGAGGTTCCAACCGGGGTCAATGGAACCACCATTTAACCCCCATCATGCTGTGATTCTCAGAGGGAAACTCTTACACACCAGCCACACCCCACCTCCCTCCCTCAGACTACTTCTCCCTCGTCTATCCCTCATTTCAATTGCATTTCTCTCTCTCTGGCCGAACCTGATACTCACTTCCTAATTAGAGATTATGTGAATTTTAGTCATTCTTGAAGTCTGGCTTTTCTTGAAACAGATGAGCTTATATCCCCCATCAGAGGGAAACCTCTAGGGGAATAGGATTAACCAGTGACTTATTTCCTTCCTAATTTTCTATAGTTTCCAATTTTGTCAATGAGCATATATTACTTGTATAATCAGAAAAAAATAAGTGTATTTAGAGAGCAGAATTGCTAAACTCTTGGCTTTTCTTTTCTTTTTAAAGCAGTAGACCTTTCTTTTTTTTTTTTTTTTTTTAGAGCAGTAGACCTCTTTGTTCAAATCTTAGAGGGAAACAAAAGAAAAGCTGTTCTGGTTGAAGCAGGATCTGTCATGTGTCTGTGTTTATGTCTGTGTCTGTGTGTGTCTTTGTATGTATGTTGTCTGTGTGTGTTTGTGTATGTTTGTGTGTATCTGTGTTCATGTGTCTCTGTTTGCGTGTGTGTGTCTGTGTATTTTTGTTTGTGTGTGTATAGGGGTGCCTCCTGTGTTGCTGGATATACTGATTTTTTTATCATTCCCAGAAGGGAATACACATCTGGACCCTCTTTGCCCATCAAATAGGAAATTGTGTCCGGCCCAGCACTGGCCTCTGTGATTCCAGAGTTAAGGTCTTTCCCAAAGAGCCTACTAGGTTCATTTGGCACCATCAGTTGTGAGTAGCTGCACTGTTTCTGGGCAGGGACGTTCCCTTTGTCTGGCAGTTAACAGACTGTACTCTTCTCCTGTATCTGGTAGGCACTCTGCCTGCCGGGGCAGGACTGGGGAGAGATAACGTGTCACAGCCTGGACCGTTTTTCAGGACAACCTATTCAGAACAGATAAGGAAAGTGATTCCCTGAGACGTTCTAAGCTAGGCCTGAATGCCTCCTGTCCTCCCGGCCTCCTGTTTCTGGTGGTCCAGTGGTCTCCCTTTATGTCTGCACTGGAGGCCTCTCCGTTTCTGGAAGAGCCCACAGCCCCACCCTCCCTAGGACTGGCTGTTTTGTTAAGGATGCTGTGGAGGAGGGACAGGACTAAGTGCTGTGTGAACCAGCTCCAGGGACAGCCTCCTTGGGTTGGAAACCCGGCTCTGCCACCTACTAGCCGTGCAGCCTTGTCCAAGCTACTCACCCACACGCCCACTCCAAGCCTCAGTGTCGTCCATTCTTAAAAGGGATAGGATCCTACCTGAAAACTCCTAGGATCCTCATGGAAATCAATCCTGAGGACGAAATGAGACAACGCATGCCACACGTTTTACAAATGTTTGTTGTTATTGTCATTATGTTGACGGCCCTTAGTTGCACTGTCTCCTTGCCTCTCAACCCCCCTGGCGAGGTGCCGACCAAGATTCTGAATGCTTGCAAGGAAAGAAAGATAACATTTTGTCCTTTGTGATGGGGAGAAAACTTGGGGGAGCAGAGCTCTGAGATACTGGGGAAGCTGCAGGAACCCCAGCTCCCACCTGGACAGGGAGAGGGCAGGGTTCGCCGGCCAGAGGTCAGTGGTGTCACCCCTGCAGGGACAGCTAGAGCTGGAGCCTCTTCTCTCCTTCTAGAAAGAACTCTTTAAAAACTAGCCAATGGGGGCAAGCAGAATCTATTCATACAACTATTTTGGTTACCGTTTCTTGAGTACTTATTCTAATGCCAGGTCCTACACTTATATTTTCTTTTCTCATCACACAGTCCCTACAAAGAAGCTATGGTACTCATTTTTCCAAATCACAAAACAGAGGTTCAAAGAGGAAATCAACCAGCATCCCGTAGCTAAAAAGAGAGCTAATACCCAAACCTAAACTCCAAACCCATCTGCTTTCTATTATCCTATTATCCTTCTCTCTTACCATTTCCCCCAAAATACCATGGAGCAGATTTTCCACCAACTTCAGGCCTCTAGCATATGACTGTGTGTTGAAAAGAACTCCTGTTAAAACATCTCCTACTTTCCCTGCCAGAAAATGTGCATTGTCCAGAGATTCCAGATGGACGGCCATTCTCGGTCTGCTCCCAGGTGGATAAAGCCCTGACCCAGCCACGGGCTGCTTCTTGACTGGGCCACCGGGGTACTCCATCACCTTGCTCTGTCCTGGACACTTGCTCCAGGACAAATTTGAATTCACCGTGTTTGCAGGTCGACCACATAAGCACTGGCCTTTCCTGGAGACTGCCTGAACTATCTTGAAATTGTGACACCCAGAGGGAGTCACAGCCCCAAGACGCAAGTTTGAGGAACTCAGCAGCCCTGGAGCAACCTTTCCGTTCCACCACAAAGGAAAGCTTGAGGACATGCGTCTGCTCTGGAACTCCTGCCTCAGGATCTGAGATGCACAGTCTGGAAAAGATGTCCCATCAGCCATTGGCTCCCTCAAGGTGACCTACGGCCTCGCTTGTCATGTGCTTCCCTCTGCCCTGTGGCCCTGTGCCCCTGGGGCCCTTTGGGTCTGTGTATGGTTTCCTTCTCGGAAGAGTGCTCTGCTGTCTGCCATCTTAATGTGGAGAGAGCATCCCATTCTTTGCTAATACGATCTCTCTTTTCACAGTGCCCTCCTGCCCTCACCTATCCCTGGCTTCCCTCTCTTTACCCTCTTCTCCATCTCTGGAGAAGCCATGGGGAAGTGGCATCTTGCCTTTGACTATCTTTGTGCTAATTCTTTCAGGGAGCTTAATGACCCACCTTGGCGATGTCTTGTCTCCTAACATCTCTGCTTTTTTTTCCTCAAGGCCCAGACTTTTCTTACCAATGCTTTCATTTTTTAAATTTTTTAAATGAAAAATAATCAAAGTTGTGTGAATTCTAGAGTCGGCTTATCCTCCTAAAGGATGTTCCTCTGGCCTGTCTTGATCTCTCTTCTCAGCAACTCCCTTGATCTCGCTGATCGTCCACCATTTACTTTCAATAAAGGTGGTTTTCGGAAGGCCCCATTGTCTGGCAGGGTTCCAGCTTTCTGACAGTCTCCTAGGGGATCCACTTGTGTCATCTCTGTGTCCTTTGGGCACTCTCAGTTAGCTGGGGTGGGGCAGTCCCCAGGGAAGCGTGGATTGGGCTGGCCCAGCTCCCGGCCTTAAGGGGTTTATGTTCTCGACTTGTGACTGGACTTCCCCTCAAGAACTGAGCTCTTGGAGCAATTGAATCTCAAGGTCACCATTTGATGCTGATTCTTTAGGTCTGAAGAGTAATCAATTGAGGTTTTTAAAATGTATTTTCCTCCACGCTGTTTGCAATTTTCCACCGTTCAGTCCTTCAGTAAATTTTTACTGAGGACCTACTATGTGCGTGGTGCTGAGCTTAGGCCCGGGGGTAGAGCTGGGGGCAAAATCATCCCTGCTCTCCTGGAGCTTGTGGTCTCGTGGGGAAGAAAGATGAGTCAAACAAATAATTATGCTGCAACATGTAAAATTTCAGGCATGAAAATGTTTGAAGGAGAGGAACATAGGGCTGCGAAAGCATAGACAGGCCAACCTTGGAAACATTGCAAGTTCGGGTCCAGACCACTGCAATAAAGCTAATATCGCAATAAAGCAGGTCACATGAGTTTTCGGTTTCCCAGTGCACATAAAAGTTCTGTTTACATTATACTGTAGTCTTTTAAGCATGCAATAAATAGCATTATGTCTAAAAAAAAGGTATACATACCTTAATTTAAAAATACTTTATTGCTGAAAAACGCTAACCATCATCTGAGCCTTTCAGTGAGTCCTAATCTTTTTGTAACAGTAACATCAAAGATCACTGATCACAGATCACTGTAACAAATATAAAAATAATGAAAACGTCTGAAATATTGTGAGAATTACCAGAATGTGACACAGAGGCACGAAGTGAGCAAATGCTGGTGGAAAAAGTGTTGCCCATAGACTTGTTACACACAGGGTTGCCACAAACCTTCAATTTATAAAAAACAAAAAACAAAATGCGATATTGGCAAAGCGCAATAAAACGAGGTGTGCCTGTAATGCAAAGGGCTGGTGTGCTCTAGGGAAGTGGTTCTCAAAGTGTGGTCCCTGGACCAGCAGCCTCAGCGTCAACTATGAACTTGTTAGAAATATACATTCTCAGTTCCCACCCCAGACCCACTGGATTAGAAACTCTAGGGATGGGGTCCAGTGCCTGTTTTCAAACATTTTCAGGGGATTGTGAGACATAAGTTTGAGAACTCCTGCTTCAGATGGTCAAAGACGGCTTCTCTGAAGAAATAACTTCTGAATTTTGAAGTAAAACTAGGCAATAGGGCAGGGTGGGGAAAGTATTTCAGAAAGAAAGAATGGCGTGTGTAAAAGCCCAGTAGTAAGAGCAGGGAGCTTTTAAAAACAGGAGGGCTTACCGTAAGAGAGGAGGAGAGTGGAGAAGGTGAATCTGGACGGGTTGCCAGGGGCCAGGAGATGCAGGTCATGGAGGCTTCACCAAGGATTGGGCAATAGAATGCTTCTGGTGTGTTAGAAACTCAAGGAGGGCACGATCTCACTTGTTTTTATTTAAAGAATAATTCTAGCTACGGTATGGAGGAAGGATTGAAGGTATAGCAAGAGTAGACCGGTGGAGGTCACCGCAGGAACCAGGGGAAAGATGACGGTAACTTGGACTAGGGTGGTTTCGGGAAGGATGGAGCGAAAGACGCACAGTCACGAGATTATTAGGTAATGCCCACAGGTCTTGGTCATCCATCAGAGGTATCAAGGATGACTCTGGCATTTTTGGTGTACGTGCAAGATGGAGGAGGACGATGCCAAGCTTGGCAACGGGAAGAGATCATGAGAAGGTCCTGTTGCATTTGACGTGCCTTTGAGCCACTTGTGTGTAGGTATCAATTAGGTGGTGGAAGGTGTAGGTCTGGAGCTCCGAGGAGAGGTTGGGGCTGGCAACACACATTGGTGAGTCATCAAAAGCTAAGTGGCAACTGAAATTGTGGGCCGGGATGAGATCACCTGGGAGAAGGAATGTAATGAAGAGAAGAAAGCCAGCCACGCTCACTGCAGAACTTCAACATTCTTGTTTACTGGTCAGGAGGAGTTAGGATGACCCCCATAAACCACGTTTAGTGTAAAGAGCCAAAGAGAAGACGGAAAACTAGAAACTAGGAGAGTGGTGTGTCACAGAGGCCAAGGGAAGAGAGTTTCCAGTAGGGAGCGCTCAGCGAGGGTAAGTAGGGGTGTATGACAAGAGGCAGCGTCCTCCAGGACGCTAGTTGGATTAAGTGACATGGAAGGTCATTTGTATCTTTAGCAAGAGCTATTTCACTGGAGTGAAGAGAAAAGCTAGAATGCAGTGGAATGAGGTGGAACCCAAAGGTAAGGAAATGGAGAAAGTGAGGACGTAGACAGCTTTTTTGGAAATGGTTGTAAAGAGGAAGAGGACACCTGTGGATGGGAGACATGGAGTCAGGAGGGTTGTTCTGGTTGATTTTTGAGTTGCAAGTGCTTCTTGCATGTTAAACCCTAAGAATTTCATTGAAAGGGAAGGGCTGAATAAAAGAGAGATGTGATCGTCTCAGGTTACCAAGGACCAGGATCCTGTACAGGTGGGAGAGTGCGGAAGCTCCCAGATTCTGTAGTTCCCACTCTAGCCTGGATTTTCCTGAACCTCTGACCTGCCCAAGGCCAGATCCCCTGACCTTGAATGCCTGCCCTCCTTCCCTTTCTTGGCATCCGTCCTCCCTGCTGACTCGCCTGCCCACAGCCCCTTTCCTGCTGCCCGCTCGGCTGTTTTCTCTGCTTTGTTCACCCTCTGTTAAGTTATTAACTTGTCAGGGTCCAGACTCCCCGCTTCCTTTCCCACTTTGAACCCACTCTTGGCTGCCTTCCCGTTCACCGCCTCAGAAAGTCAGCATCGGGGAGGCCAGGGTTGTAGGGCTGGTCATTACTGGCGGGCACGTAGAAGTACAGTTAATATAATTGGTATAGGATGGTGAAGGCTTCTTAAAGACACTGACATTGACATAAGCCTTCTTAAAGACAGGGATACAATTCTTAAAGACATTGAAAAAGGAATCATAAAACACAACCATCTCTCCATTATCTTAGAGGTGGAGGCAAATGGTGAACTTAAAATAGACTTTATTCAAAGTAATTTCTCCAAGAGGGTTCAATTTTAAAGGGCCGCCTGTACACATGTTAAAGACCATCAGATTTTTACCTGTTAATTCATGGATTCAATTAGGGTCAGGAATGATCTTTCATTAGTTTTTAAAGCAGACTCAGAAATAGGTACGTTGTTTTAATATGTGTTGCTACTCTGAGGCCAGCAAACTTTGTCTAAGATTCTTAAGAGAAATTTGCAGCAGTTCCTTAAAAAGAATTGAGTGGTTTTATCGTTACCCAGCACTTCTGAAGTCATGAATTAACTTAATAGGGTCTGATGGACTAAGGGACAGCCTGTTTCGTATTCACTAACCTATATCCTACTGATAATGATTCCTTGTCTACGGATAAATCTCAGAGAAATAACATTTTGGAGCATCTATTATGGGCAGATATTTTACATATTATCTACAGTTTTATAAATAGAGAAATCAGGGCTCAGAACTATTTAGTGAATTCCGAAAATTCACACCTCTAGAGGGTGGCAGGTAGCACCTGAGCTCTGGTATTCATGCTCACACATGGAAGCAGCAGCCATCCTTGTAGTAATAGGAACGGTAATAATAGCAATGATTCCCATGCACCGAAACCTTGATGTGTGAGGAGCCTCATGTATGTCAGATCATTTAATCCCTGTAAGCGGCGTGGTCCTCATTTCACAGCAGAGGAGACAGAATTGAAGAGGTTAAATTATTCATGCAGTCACACAGCTATTCAGTGAAGAGATGGGATTCAAACCCAGTTCCCTCAGACCCTAACATTCCCCTCTAAAGTAAGCCTGTTTGTCCAAATTAGGGATGTTTTCCTGATCCCAAGAACAAAGCCTGAGGCACGGTAGATGTAAATATTTTTTTCCTAATGTGCTTGAATATACAGCTGTCTTCCAGCACTCCTGTGGAGCCAGAACACAGGAATGTTTATTTAATTTTTATTCCTTGTTAGCTTTGGTAGAGGAGGGTGGAAACATCCGTGTTCCGGCAAGCTTATACATTTGGGTAAGGTACTTTCTCATCCATCTAGCAACTTCTCCCGTTAAGAGCCACCCCCCAGATGAGAATAAAACAAGAAAACCTCTGAGCACAACCAGAGTTAAATATCACAACTTGTTGAATTAACTCCTTTATCTAGAGAAGACTCTTTCCGACCTTCACACACAACTGGTTGACTCTTAATTTTATACATAGTTCTAACAGCCTTTGTTTTTGGCTCAGTCTACAGTAGCATAATAATAGAAGAGGGCCCACTGCAGATGGTGTAGTAGCACCAGAGATGTGACCAGAGCTAAGAGTCATTGGGACCAAATAACTGCAAAGAAGCAGAAATGAGAGCCCAAGAAGTACAGCCAACCGGAGCTATTTTGGGATCAGATCAAACACTGTGCGTCCTCTATAACCATATTACAGCAGAGTCTTAGCAGTTATCACTTTTTATTATGGTCGCGCTGAACATCCATGAAACCGTAGTATATTAAATCGTGCTGGGTGTATGTCCAGTTTAGGAAAGTCTTGATGATGTGCACAGTGACTTTTTCAGTTTATGAAAAACCAACCACATTAGCGCTTTATCTACCCTTCAAATCTAACTGTCCAAGAAAGAGTCCCCGGGGCCCTCGGTGTGAATTATCTTTGGATCCCCAAAGCACGATGCCTGACACATAGTATGTGCTCACTAACGTTAGTTGATAAAATATCAAACACTTTGTTTCTCGAGGGTTCTGGGTAGCGTATTTCACTATGGTTACTTAGGAAGCAGCGTTCCTGGGTATATTCCAGGCTGACTTTATGAAGGAGAGAAGGGGTGAGCCCCCTGAATGTTCTGTGCTTGTTCGGTTTTCACGCTTGATACCCAGCTGCCCCTCAAAAAAAAAAAATCATTCTATATGTGTTCATTGCTATTATTATCATGATTGTCTCCATCACGATTGACCAATATTGTATATGTCACACCTGGAGAGGATGTGAAAAAGAAGTTGGACCTTACTCTCCTGGAACATATTTAAACCCTATAAACAAAACCAGGCTGGGTGCTATCCAACCAGCTCTTACCAGAATAAGGGGAGGGAGTCCCAGGAATTGTCTGTGGACGTTCAGGCTACCCACCCCTTCATGAAGGAGTTCGGTCCACTTAGTGAAGACGGTGCCCTGAATAAATCAGTGCGGCTCTCGGTGCATTTCAAGTCGAATTTCAGAGAGTTCCAGGCCGCCTGAAGATGCACTTGTATCAAAGGTTGTCAGCAGCCGGGGGCCCAGCTCCACGTGTCTGCTCCCAGCACCTGGCCTTCCTTCCAGTTCAAGGGCAGCTTCTTTTCCAGGTCACAGCCATTTTGAAGAGGCAGCGTTGGCTGACCTGTTAAGTGAGTGCCCTGCCTGCACGAAAGCGCTGTCCCCCGCTGCCCGGCAACATCAGAACATTCTGGGGAAGAGGGCCAAATCTCTCAGTGCCTGAGGGATTTCTGGCCTTCACTCCTGGCGGAATTAGCAGAAGTTATCCATAAATCCCCGAGGCATCCATCAGCAGACAGAGCAAGGCTGCCTTTTTAAAGAAGTTCACTGACCTCTTGTTAACTTAACTCCTTGTTAGGAAATATCTAATCAGCCGTGTGCTAACAGGTCCAGGGCCCGGGGTCGGCAGAAGCAGGGCTCTCAGTGGGGCTGGGTTTCCAGCTGTGCGCTGTCTGGTGTCTGAGCCGTCTGTTTTGTTTTCCTCCTTCAGCTATCTTCCAGATCATTCAGAGCATAAGGATGGGCATGTGAGCAGGCTGGGCTTTGACACGGCCCCCTGCCGCTGGAGGGTGGAGGACCGCTTCAGCTCTTAGCCGGGTATCTGTGGGAAGCTGACAAGCCATCCAGAAGAGAAAAAAAAGGCTCCCTCAACTGTTCCCTGATCACTTCATCGTGGATGTCAGACCAAATTTCTTTCTCACAGGACATCTCGGTACATCCGTGTTCTCAAGCGGAAAGGACATTTTGCTTTGCAGTTGGCAGGATTGGTAGCTCTCTGGGTGTCTGCAGCAGAGCTGTCTGTCTGCTTTTGCCCTGGGTTTCGCTGATGTCTGCTTGCGGGCTTCTGAATGATCACCGCTTTACTTTCTATAGATACGATCTCTGCTCCATTGGGAATTGCTTTTACAAATAAATGTCTTTGTTCAACCTTATACACTGTGTGGGTTCCAGTGAGAAAACCAAAGTGAAGATGATGTCAGGAAAGCTCCGGAGGGATGGGTAGGGTAGGGGACTTGATTATGTAACTGGGGAAGGTCAGGGAATCTGTGGCCCGGGAACCAGGGCTAAGTTTGCCCAGCCGGGCGCTGGCCACCCTCAAGGTCTTTGCCTGAAATGAAGCCCTGGGCAGCTCTAAGGACCTTGGGTTTTTCACACATTTGACAAAGTGTGGATCTTCTGGGGTTCTTTCTTTTTTCGGTTCGCTTTTTGTTGTCCTTTTTTTTCAATCCAGAAAAGGTACCTACAATGTGTGTTAAAGTCCAATTAGCCATTATCTCTTCTGTGGGCTGCATCAGGGCTTGGTGCGTCACAGAGGCCTCTTTGGAAAAATCATCCAACCTCAGGCCCAGCCCTGCCCTAACCTAGAGCACCGGGCAGGCAGGAGTCCTGCCGGCTGGGTGGGTGAGGTTCAAGGTTGGTGGGTGAGACCCTCCTCTCCCCGGCCAGCCTTCCCCACAGCGTCTCAAAGTGTGGACGGCCTGCATCCCGTCTCCGTGTGGGGGGGGGCCTAGGAGGATGCATCTCAAAATGCAGACTCCTGGGTTCCACCTCAAGCCTGCTAAATCCAAATCCCCACCACTGGGGCTAAGAACAAGTGTTTGGTACCAGCTCCCTGGGTGAGGCTCGTGTCCTCTACGCCGAGATCCTGAAAAAACCCCGCTGAGGAGCGAATGAAGTTCTGTCCCGTTCCGAGCAGCAAAGGCAGCCGAGCTTGCTCTTAAGCAAAGCCTCTCCTGGCAGGGACTGGGTGACATTTGGCCTGCCCCCTGGTTGGGGCTTCTCATCTTGCCCAAGGAAGTCCTAGGGACAGCCACTCAGATGACCTGCAGGATTAAAGATGCTCACCGTGCAACTTCAAACAGGCCTTCACTATTTTTTTAAAAAATTCCATCTTTGCATCCTTAACCATTTTTTTCCAGCCCTTAAAACTGTGAGAGCTTTAAAAACAGAAGTGGCAGAAGGGGCCAGGACCTCTTGCCGCCACTTCAGGGGCTTTGTTGTAAGTGGCCCTTTGGAATGGGGGGGGGGGGACGCTTTTTGTCCCCGAGAGTCTTTCACCCCAGACCTTTTAGTGATATTCTTGAAAGCTTTCTTTTCTCCCATACTCTGAGTTCCCCTCCTTCCCCTTTCTTTCCCACTGAGAAGAGGGTGACAGAGCTGTTCTGAAATTAGCTGCCCCAGGGACAGGCTACCGTCCTTAGGCTTCCCCACTCCCCATTCCAACCCCAAACCTCTCCTGAGACAGCAGAGGATAATCCCCACCACCTGAGGGCTGCACTGAGTAGATGCTTCATGAGCTGGTCTGCTCATCGTCCTGGCTCTGTCTGGCCGTCCTCTTCTTGGTGACTAAGATCCGTGTGAGATCAGACCCCACTGCTGCCTGCCAAGAAGCCAGCATAAGGAAGCCCCCTTGATATAAAGGTTCCCTGGTCTGTGCTCCCACAAACACCCTCTCTGACACCCACGGGGCCTGGACTTGATCTAAGGGCCTTCCCCTTCCTTTCCTAATGCCAATGACAGTACACCTGCCAGACCATCGTGAAAAGCCATCACTGGGCCTGAGCTTTGAAATTCATCCTTTATTGGAGAGAGTCTTTTCCCTCCCTAATTTGGTCTTTCCCACAACAGTAATAGCCAATGGGGTGATATCCCCATTTCAAGAAAAGGACACTGAAATTTGGCCTCCAGATAAACCCAGCTGTCGCCAGGTGACAGGTGTGGTGGGCTGAGTCTCTTGTCATCCGTAAAACTTCCCATGATGGATTTATCTCCCCAGAAGATGCAATCATCCCCAAATTGGTTTTCTATTAGTTTCCAGGTAGCCTCCCTGGAAGCACTTGTATAGGACAGTCTGCCCACCCTGGTGACTTCTGCCAGCCCTCTGCAAGCGGAGATGGGAGCTGCCCTAAGTAAATTAGGTTCATGGCTGATTTATACTGAACAGTGGAGACTTTCTGCCATGACACATAGTAAGAAACACATGGCAACCCGATGCACAGCACACCCACCAAAGCAACTATAACAGAACAACACATCCTTAACACATGTGATGCACCCTGATTTTTTTTTCCCTTTTTTTTTTTTTTTTTTTAATGCCGGTTGCACCCTCCTTAAATGACTTTATAACCCACGAGTAGATTGCAACCTACAGTGTGAAAACACTGCTCTTTCTGGAGAAAAATCAAGCCCTTCATGGGAGACAGATAAGCAAGGGCTCACAAGGTAAGAAAGTCTGAATCCCACACTGAGTTCTGAGGAGAACCAGACCTCACATCTCAATCACAGTCAGTACCTCCAGGGGCACATTAAACCGCTTCTTTGGGGACTCAAGGTGCAGATCCTGCAGAGAAAGAACGAGCACCTCCTGAATCCTTTGAAACGTTGTGAGATAAACACCAGATTCCGCTTGTCAGCGTTCGCTTGCTGTGCGTCACGGCTATCGGGGGGGGACGGGGGTTTTTAAAAGCAGGGATCCACCCCAGGCCTATTGAAAATCAAACTCACCGAGACACTGCATCAACCCTGATGCACGAGAGTTCCTCCCTCCTCTGACATGTTAAGCACCGGGAACAAGTTCACCAGCAGACTTGCTTTAATTAAATGAAACAGGGACCCAGAGGTAATACCCCTAAACCTAACACTGCATCAACCCTGATGCACGAGAGTTCCTCCCTCCTCTGACATGTTAAGCACCGGGGGTGCTCTGCAGAGCTCAGCGAACATGAGACACCGTGTCCTGTTTTGCTCCGGGTCTTGTGTGTCTTTGTCAAGAACAGCACAGACCGGGGTCCAGAGTGCTTAATACTTGGCCCTCAAAAGCTCCGTAAGAGGAAAGCCATCTGCAGTGGGAAGACTGAGAGCTCTTTCCAGGTCCTCGCCCTCCAGGGCATCATTACAGATCAAACACTCTTTCTGAGAAGGCTGTGCACAGGGAGTGTGCTCGCTGCTTCAGAAGGGAGGGAACGCACACACAGATATGCAGACACTTCGCTGTAAGACAATTCTCATCCCATCCAGACACAAGAACATCCTGACGTAACATCCCTGCAGTTACTCCACACTTGGTCCCCACACGTGGTCACATTTGCTTTGGAGGCAAAATATCATTTGGGTGATATCCTTTATCGTACACAAGTCATCACCAGGCTTCAGCTGCAAATCGTGAACACGTAGTGATGGCTCTCAGCCATGGGCCCCTTTCTCTGAAAATCTTTAAATCCTCAGGCTTCCATCTGCTGGCTGTGGGTCTACCTTCCACCCTGGCGATCAGCAGACTTTCTCAGTAGAGGCCAGAGAGTAAATATTTTAGGCTTGGTGGACCATAGCGCCTTGAGACGACTCAGCGTAGCTTGGAAGCAGCCCTAGGTAGTACATACACAAGTGGACAGGCTTTGTTCCGATAAAACTTTATTTAACAGGGCTTCCCTGGTGGCGCAGTGGTTGAGAGTCCGCCTGCCGATGCAGGGGACGCGGGTTCGTGCCCCGGTCCGGGAAGATCCCACATGCCGCGGAGTGGCTGGGCCCGTGAGCCATGGTCGCTGAGCCTGCGCGTCCGGAGCCTGTGCTCCCGGAGCCTGTGCTCCGCAACGGGAGAGGCCACAACAGTGAGAGGCCCACGTACCGCAAAAAAAACAAAACAACAACAAAAAAAACACTTTATTTAACAAACAAGCAGGCCCTGCCAAGCCCTGCTCTTGAGTGGCAGTTCTCAGATTGTGACTCACAAGCCCTCACTCAAGAAGCACTGGATTAAGTTGGAAGGTTCTGCACATCCGCCAGCCCCTTGTTCATGACAGAAGGCAGACTCTACTAAGAAGGAATTTAGAATTTAAATAATAGAAGTGAAACAGGCAATGATCTGCCTTGGCAGAGCTGTGAGGAAATCTTTCAGGATGAATACAAAGGATTTTAATTCTATCGGTGCCAAGGTATGTGTGGGAAGTCGGGGTGGGAGGCTGGGACCTTGAAGGCAAAGCAAAATGGAAGGTTGGGCTGGGATGTCAAGCTCTTTCTGAGAAGTAACTGGAGAGTGTCAGCCTTGAATGTTCAAAACAGAAGCACAGACTGTTACGTCATGAAAGCCCCCAAGACACAAGCCTGTACACAGGGACGTCTATTTTATCTCACTGTGACAGATACAAACTTTAAATATTGCATTAGGAACACAGAGAGATCTGAGCAAAGTTGCACAGAGCTCTGGAAGAGAAGTCCAAATGAATAGTTTAAAAATTGGCCCTGAGGGCTTCCCTGGTGGCGCAGTGGTTAAGAATCCGCCTGCCAACGCAGGGGACACGGGTTCGAGCCCTGGTCCGGGAAGATCCCACGTGCTGCGGAGCAACTAAGCCTGTGCGCCACAACTACTGAGCCTGCGCTCTAGAGCCCATGACCCACAACTACTGAAGCCCGTGCACCTAGAGCCTGTGCTCCACAACAAGAGAAGCCACCACAATGAGAAGGCCGCGCACCGCGACAATGAGTACCCCCAGCTTGCAGCACCTAGAGAAAGCCCACGCACAGCAACGAAGACCCAAACAGCCAAAAATTAAAAAAAAAAAAAAAAGTGGCCCCGAGACGTTTATAACTCATCCATTACTTCTTGGTGGGAGCAAGATGGAGGTCGTGTATGAGGGAGAGAAAATACGTTACTACTTAAGAAAAAAGGGCCAGAAAGAAATCAGCATTTGGAGTCATCACCCCAAATTTGCTTCAAAGCATTCTTAAGCATTTAACAAGCTTGCGCACACATTTGTTGTTTTTTATTTCAGTCTCCGCATAAGGTAGGTTAGACTTACTACTAACACTTATGGCAGGCTTACTCTGGGCCAAATCCTATTCTGGTACCTATGAGTATCTGCTCATTGAAGCCTCATAAAATGCCCCTCGGTGGGGGGCCATAATTACCTCTGTCTTACCGATGAAGAAACAGGCCAG